ATCATCCTTATTACTACACCCCCATCACCACCATTGTTGCCACTCTACCACCACTGTTATTGTCCCACCATCACTCTTACTACCACCATTGTCCCACGACCGTCACCACTACCACCACCGTCGCCATCACTACCCCCACCATTACCCCACAACCACCGCCACTGTTGTCCCCGCCACCACCGTTGTCACTATCACCACCCACTACTATCATCATCTCATTCTTATAATTATTACAACTACCACCATCAACTCACTACTATCGTTACCACACACCACCACTACCTATCGTCAATTGTCACTATCACCCACCCTCACCACACCTACCACCACCACCCTTCATTGCCCACCACCCAATCACCCACCCCCACCACTGTCATTCGCTACTACCCATCATACTGTCGCCCAGAAGCATCTGTTGTCGCCCACCACCACAACCCACCACCGCTACTACTACTGTTGTCACCCCACCACTACGACTGGCAACATACATCACCGTTGCTCATCACCCACCACCATCGCCGTCACCTATGGTTGTCATTACTATCATCATCGTTGTCATTCACAACTATCACCACCACCACTGTTACCTACCACCTCTCACCCCCACTACAACTGGTGCTTAAATTCATTTATTTCTCCTTTATGTTTGTGATTTGATTTTAGATGTGAATGCAAATATATTTATTATTAATTATTTTTTATTATTATGTGCCTTAAAGTACAGATAATAACTAATATTTTTATAAATTATAACGCTTATGTTTGTGTTTGTATGCATGAATTTTTAATTCTATATATTTTGACCATTATTTTAAAATGTTTTAAAAATAAATTATCAGATTTTTTTTATCTATTTTCATTTTGTTTATAAAATATTTATAAATTATTTTCAAAATATTTTTGTTTTTTAGGAGATCGAAATAATTTATTGAAATAAAAATTCTGATCCTTGCTACATTAATGATCTCTCATCCTTTGAAAAAGAAGTAGCTAGTGTCATACTGTTGTTGGGTTTGAGAATGATATNCCACTACCACTGTTGTCACCCCACCACTACGACTGGCAACATCCATCACCGTTGCTCATCACCCACCACCACCGCCGTCACCTATGGTTGTCATTACTATCATCATCGTTGTCACTCACAACTATCACCACCACCACTGTTACCTACCACCTCTCAACCCTACTACAACCGGTGTTTAAATTCATTTATTTCTCCTTTATGTTTGTGATTTGATTTTAGATGTGAATGCAAATATATTTATTATTGATCATTTTTTATTATTATGTGCCTTAAAGTACAAATAATAACTAATATTTTTATAAATTATAACGCTTATGTTTGTGTTTGTATGCATGAATTTTTAATTCTATATATTTTGACCATTATTTTAAAATGTTTTAAAAATAAATTATCAGATTTTTTTTTTATCTATTTTCATTTTGTTTATAAAATATTTATAAATTATTTTCAAAATATTTTTGTTTTTTAGGAGATCGAAATAATTTATTGAAATAAAAATTCTGATCCTTGCTACATTAATGATCTCTCATCCTTTGAAAAAGAAGTAGCTAGTGTCATACTGTTGTTGGGTTTGAGAATGATATGATTTTTGAAACATAAAAAAAGGTGCTCAATGCTTTTTTTCTCTTTTATCATTTCATATAGCTTTNGTTAAAGGTACTAGGAGTAGGGGTAGACATAAATTAACATCGAACGGAATAATAAAAAAAGATATGAAAATATTTAACTTAAATGAGCGTATAGCGCATAACCGAAATGAATGGTAAAAACAGACTCATATAACCGACTTTAAATGATTGAGGCATAAAATTTAGTATGATTTGGTTTGGTTTATACTCTTACTTTTGTGTGAAGTTGATGAAGTATAAACTCATCTATCTACATACAAAAAAAGTATTGGACAGATGGTTTGAGAACACTTTTCTTCATCTTTTCTAAATCTATAGAGTTTTAATTTATTTAATTAATCAATACCAGTGAAAAAAACAACAATTACGACGCTTTACTAATAATATCAAAAAAAAGTCTGGATAGAAAATCTGCAACCGTCGTTGGCCTCACTACATATGCATTTCAAAATCACTTTAAATAGTTCAGGATACTCCCACTAACCCACTTACACTCCAACTACATGATAACCATCACATTTCATTTATTTTAGGTCTTCTCATAAACCTATTCAAACATTCACAATGTGGTCGATCTCTATTTCCTAATACTCTAATTTCTTTAAAAAAAAAAAGAAAAGAAACACCTCTCCCAATTAAAATCTATTTTGTATACTTTATAATTAGAGTAATGTCATTCCGACACAATGATTATAAACATTAAATTATCACTAGGTCCCAATATTAAAATCACGCTATTATCAATTTAGTGGTTATAATATATTATGTCATCAAATTATATTCTTAAATTATGACTTAATAGCATTAATGTTATAATTAATCCTTAACTCGATAAATTGTTGAATTGATAGAGGGAAAAGGAAAAAAATTGAAGAAAAAAATAAAATAAAAATAGAGATAGAATTTATGTCTTGTCCATTGCACGAGAAGACCGCTAGTCAAGTCTGAGATATATTTTATTACGGAAGGAGTTCACCAAAAACCTATACGCACCCTTCTTTTTTATATTATTTTTTTGGTGTAATTACTTGAGGTTGAAGAAGTTTATGGTCTCTCTCTCTAGAATGTTGTTTTCAGCTCTATAGAAGCAATAAGATTGAATAGACCCAAAAGAGGATGAGCGATCAAGAAAGGATCTGTTCTTTAATAACGTCACGTCCCACGTTGAAGAACACGTGACAGTTTGTTCTAGGATGTGGTCAATTTATTTTAGGCAACCTTCATAGCCACGTGTGACACATTACGTACGGTAATGGACCCCATAGGGGCAAATCTAAACAACCCCACATCAAGATAATTTCTATCAGAAGGCAACAAAGTCAAGAAAAAGTAGTTCACCGTAACAAAATATTTAAATTATCTTGCAAAGTCTCCCGGATTAATATGAGTCTATCCGGTGTACATAATTTAAAATCTTAAAATTGATTGAGAAACCTCTTAAATGACCCGGTCGAATAATAATAGACTCGTGAATTATATACTCAACTTGAAAACAGTGTAAATGTGCAAATCTAACTTACTTAAATCGTAACAGTAACGGCCGATACTATAAAAAGTGAATTAGGAAATTTTTGGGGGACTGGAAAATGAATGTACATGTCCTAAAAGCATTGAAACAAGTATTGAGGTTGGCTGGTGTTTGATTGGAATGAATGCATAAGTTCATTGCACTAGAACGAAAGATCATTTAGAGACCTGCCTAATTAGATTGAATAGAATCTGCTACACCTAATAAGAGTTAGCGAATGGACTGGACCAGAGACCATGCGAGTGCTGAATAATGCATTATACACCACAAGTAGTAAGCAATAGATTGAATGAAAAAAGTNTAGGATGTGGTCAATTTATTTTAGGCAACCTTCATAGCCACGTGTGACACCTTACGTACGGTAATGGACCCCATAGGCGCAAATCTAAACAACCCCACATCAAGATACTTTCTATCGTAAGGCAACAAAGTCAAGAAAAAGTAGTTCACCGTAACAAAATATTTAAATTATCTTGCAAAGTCTCCCGGATTAATATGAGTCGATTCGGTGTACATAATTTAAAATCTTAAAATTGATCGAGAAACCTCTTAAATGACCCGGTCGAATAATAATAGACTCGTGAATTATATACTCAACTTGAAAACAGTGTAAATGTGCAAATTTAACTTACTTAAATCGTAACAGTAACGGCCGATACTATAAAAAGTGAATTAAGAAATTTTTGGGGGACTGGAAAATGAATGTACATGTCCTAAAAGCATTGAAACAAGTATTGAGGTTGGCTGGTGTTTGATTGGAATGAATGCATAAGTTCATTGCACTAGAACGAAAGATCATTTAGAGACCTGCCTAATTAGATTGAATAGAATCTGCTACACCTAATAAGAGTTAGCGAATGGACTGGACCAGAGACCATGCGAGTGCTGAATAATGCATTATACACCACAAGTAGTAAGCAATAGATTGAATGAAAAAAGTAACATACATGCAAACATCAGTTTCGACCTAACTGTCATTGCAATTTTCATAGCGACATATGTCAAATATTACCAACTTTGGACCACAAAATTTGGTTTTTATGTAGTGTGACATGTCGAAAAATTACTCATACTTTCGAGTTCAATGACCAACCTACATGCCTTCGTTTAAACAAACATAAAAGAACAATTCAATGCTTGAAACTTCCACAACTAGAAAATTTGCAAGAGTCAGAGATATATAGTTTTATCCAATATATGGAGAGACTATCTCCGTAGCCTGAATCTATAATATTCAAACCACAATAAAACAACTTTTATTATTGTGCTAAGACATGCCCTTAAAAAAGTACTAGACACTTTAGTGCTTGTTCCTACCTTGTAGAATAAAATGTTTGTATCGCCGTAATCGACTCAAACTCAATAAAAAAAGTATATACAACCCTAGCAAACAATGATATATAATGAATATCGAAAAACAAAAAATAATCATAATAATAACTTTCAGGTCAGACTTCTTTACACAAAGAATGCAGCCAACACAAAGAATGAAATCCATGGAAGAAAACTGTTACATGAAAATCAACTGAGGGAAAGCAAATGAAAATGGCAAAGAGTGAAATAAAGGACATCCTCTGATATTCTCACACAATTACACACATTCCTATCAACTACATTTTTAAGAAAATAGAAGAACTAATATTCCACCAAAAAAGGTATTACAGATTCTATACCTTGAAGGAGAGTTAAATTTGACTCCATGCACAAATGTAACTTTCTAACCAATGGAATCATTCCTTCCAAACCAGAAAAAGAAATTCAAGATAAAATCGGGCATGCGAACATGATATCCAAATCAACAGCATTGGCTAGCCCCTTAGTGATATGCTTCCTTGGTAGCAGCATAGCTTCTACTCTCTGTGACATTGGAGTTCATAGCAAGGACCTCTGGTGCACTGTCCCAGCTCCCACTTCTCCTTCCCCAACTTGGGTGCCGGGTGTCTGTGTGAACAGTAGGAGCTCGCCGATCGGAACCTATAACAGAATCAGCCTCTGAAGAATTATGATGAGGCACGTCACTCCCTCTGCTGCGTATATCTGCTTCAATATCTTCAATATTATGACGCTGGGAAATCTTTAATAGATCTCCACCAATATCTAGATCATCTTCTACCTTCACACGCCGATCCTCACACATATCCCCTACTTCTGCTTCCCGGGTTGTGGGCAAAGGAGGCCTTTGTACCTCCTCTTGTACAAATGCACGAAAGTTGTTCCTTGAAGTCTTTATCTTTGTGCAAAACACTTCCAGAAAATTATTCAAACAGCCCCAATCATAAACATTGATCCTGTTGTCAGATCGGTACCGGAAGTTCTCATAGGTGGTCTGAGAAAAAAAATGTGAAAATTATTAAAATAGTTGCCATAATGGAAGAAACCATGGGGCAACCAAAGTGTGAAGCTTTCTTTTTACTATAGGAACAGACAAGTAATCACAAGCAAAGGTAATTGCTACAAGCTCTTAGGTTGTGGAAGTGTCCATACATGTATGCAACCATGGAATCATAAACCAGAAGCACAAAATGCAGAAAGTATTATGCCTGGATTTCTCAAATGATTTTTCAGTCTTTTACCCTACAACTGTTCTAAAGGACAATGAATCAACGAACACAGCGCATTTTAGTTGGAAAGGCACAGATACAGCAGTACCATACCAGCAAGAAGAAACAGTTTTGTTGATTTGATCAAAAACCAAACAGCTGAATCAGTACACCGCTGTTTATTGACTGAAAAAGGGATTGTATTCAGCAAATCACTTTTTGCCGAGTTTGTGTTGCATGCCTTGAACACAAATCACCCAAGCAGGAAATAAGTTTTTAGTATGTGAACAAATAACAAAGATGGTGAAGTTTCCGTCTCCACCATGATACATGGCATGGCAATGAACCAAGAGTTTGTTAGGCTATAGAGATTACATTGTCACACCACCACTTATCTAAAATACTAAAATTTATTTTCCCACCATTATTGACAGCATCAAGCCTAGACATTATTGTGCTTATGCTCTATTATTCAGCCAAGAATTTGTATTTACAACCTCCATTCAATGACCCAAAAAAAATTCATGCAATGATATTATACACGGTGCACGGAAATATTCGAAAATGTTTATTTCGAATAAACAGAATTTTCTCATCCAGCCAATGGGTGGCTCACAAAACCAAATCTAGACTCACCATAACAGGCCATCATACTCAGTTCCACCATGCATGCCCGCAGTGGTGAAGCTACTAAATTTTTTTTTGTATAGGTTTTATTATATTTCAAAAAAAAAAAAAATCAATAATTTTAATTTACTAAATCATGTTATATATATATATATATAAAGTTTTACCCTATTTTGTGCTCTCCCTCTTACCATTGCTAATTTTTTTTTTTTTGTAATATGAAAATTAAGTCGGTGACACTTGAAAATGTAAGGTTGTTCTTCTATTATGACCGGGGTGCCAATAATATAAGTCGTAGAAACATTCTTCCACATGCGGAGTAAGACTGCACATATTTAACCCTCCCTAGATTTTGTAGTAGTGGAAATCCACTCACTGAATGACCTATTTTTATTCATAATTAGTACAAAAATTTTAAGCTTACTATTGTTAAAAGTGAAAATTTTGGGACGTAATTTAAGAATTTAATATATTCATGTCATTGAATTAACATCGGGTCTCAACATTGAATGCAGTCCATTTCGCTAAACCAACGGTACTAATGCAATAAGTCTCTGGATTAACTCACTGAATTAAAGACATGCATATTATTGTTGTTAAACTTTTTGGGCCCACAACGCCAAACTTTTGGCTCCGCTCCTACATGCCCGTATCACCAAACTAAAACTCACAAATAATTTGTGGCAAGCTAAGAACCTATACCAATCTAACAAATCAAATCTTTTAGCTAGAATTAAACAAACAAGAAAAGTTGACTGACCTGGTTAGTGCTTATAAGGTATAAATGAAAGCCAGTAAGCCCACCAACAAACCAAAGAGAAATGAAACAGTAGGACATTACTATCACAGATGCAGGAGATTCTTTCATGGCCTTCCAAACAGTGCTGTGATAATCATCCATCAAAACCTTGATGTAAAAGGCACACATGGCAAACACGTAGATGCACAGCAGCGTTGAAGATGAAACAAACAGAAAGAAGTAACGGTAGTTGCGCTGCACATTGCACATGAAAAATGCAGTTAACATCTTAACATGGCTCTCCCAAGCCAAAAGAGCCTCAAAACAGAACGCTGGATACTAAGATCACAAATCAAAGAAAGATGCGACTGGAATGTCATATAACATACCAATCCAATGCATTGGCCCACCCAAGGGCAATGATGATCAAAACGCTCTACACAGTTGTTGCAAATGGAGCAATGTGAGCAACGAGGAGGACGATATAGCATGCAGGTGTCACAGTACTTCACTCTTACAGGGATTCCATTAACCATAACTTCTTTTGTCCGAGGGAACTGTAGACTTGGTGTTTGTCTTCCCCCAATCTCAACTGATGCTGAAGTGTCATAGCGGAACACTTCCTCTGGTGGATGTGAATTACGTGGTACAATACCTGGATCCCGAGCAGAAGTAAGAAGAAGAAGCACCAATACCTATCAGAAAAAACTGAGGGATTATAATAAGCCACATCAGAAACCAAAAAAAAAAACAAAAATATGGTGACCAAATATCCCCAGAAATTACGCAAATATAAAGAAGAATAACCAACCAAGGATTAAAATATCGTTTCGAAACAGTCGAAACATCCAACACGTTTCCGTTTCCGTTTCCAAGGAGACCAAAACGAATCAGTGATAGAATCGAAATTCTAATACTTCGAGGTGTTCCATACTGTTTCAAAATATTTTGTTATATTTCAATGTATTTGTATAATTATTTCAGAATGTTTCAAGATATTTCAAGATTTTTTGATATATTTCGACCAATATTTCAAAAAAATAATTCTTAAATTTTTATTATTTTTCATTTTGTTTTCGAAATGGGTCGAAACGTTTTCGATACATGTCGAAACGTTTCTATTTTTTAAGTGGCCGAAACAATGCACTGAAACAAAATTTTGATCCTTGGAAGCACCAATACCTATCAGAAAAACCGAGGGATTATAATAAGCCACATCAGAGACCAAAAAAAAAAAACAAACAAAAATATGGTGACCAAATATCCCAAGAAATTACACAACTGACGCTTATATAAAGCACAGAAAGTTTCTGAAAGAGAACCTGCCAGGGCTGAAGTGCATGGTAGAAATCTCAAACCTGAGTATTCGGAATTCCATAAACTACTCATACCAAAATATCCAGTTTTTCTAATAAAAAATGAAACAAGGAAAATAGATTCTGAACTGATGGCACTCACACACTCATCAAAACACTAATGAAGTGAAATAATTTGTTTAAATAGATGCTGAAAGATTCTAAATTCAGAAGATTTTACAATCAGTCCTGATGACATTTTGCCATAGGAGGGCTACAAGCATACCAGTCATCCATCCATTCCAATATGCATTAAATGTGGCCACGTGTACTTGCCCCCAAAAAAAAAAAAAAGTACGACCAGGTGTTGAACAAAAGCATGAATGACAATAAAGAGTTCATAGAGCTACTACATTAATGTCTAGTAAAGGATTAAGACTTAGGAGGACTCACATAGATTGTATAGACAATTGCCACCACCAGAACAGCATATCCAGCATTATTTGGCAAAAACTCATGGCGAAGATGCCTTGCAACGAAGACACAAAAGATAACGATAGGAACAATGATCAGCAATAAGGTGACAAGCAGGGACCTAGCATCTGGCCCAAATATCAACCTTCCTCCAAGAAAGAACTTCTGCAAGAAATACAGAATAAGAAGTGAGATACAGAACCATCTCAGGTATTTGTTGTCATTTCATATGACTCAAAACAAAAAGATGCATTCCCATCTCACTCCCCAACAGTAAAAAATAAAGAGAAAATCTCCAAATCAAAAGATAAAATAATTAACACATTGGCAACTAAACAATAATACTACACTAATCTGCCTAAAAAAAAGAAGGGGGAGGGGGAGAGAAAAGGACATCTAAATGTGTTTAAAAAAATGGTTCACGGGTACGATCTCAATCAACAAGGTCAAAATGTAATTGTCTTTATTTAGCTATTACTATTGTTAAAGGATAATGAAAATATTGTTTCACACTTCTTTTCCAGTAGAACTACATAACTAACCATAATAACTAAACAACCACCCTCAACAAGAGTTGTGACTCCACTAAGGCTGACCCTATGCCTTCAAAGTCATGGGTGAAAATCTAAAAGAATCCATCTTTATATTTAGTAAATTCATAAAGATAAAACTAAATAATTATTAAAAATTAATAAAAAATTATTTAATAATAATATCTCTTGTTTGTTGATATACAGATTACTAATTGAATTTTTATATTCAAGTTGAGTTAATATATCATCTTCAACAATTAATATAGCTAACTCATTCAGTATTCTTGTGACAGAATTAGTCGTAGAGATAATTTGATCAACTTAAGTAATTTTTGAAAAATTTCTTCCCGCGGAAACATCTCTTATGACTATCATAAAAAATAGTTCCAAACCACACTACTGCCCAAGAAGATTCATACCCACCCCATGCTTATTTCCCACATCTCCAAAGAGTTCCATGAATCCCAATTGAATGTTGAGTACCAAACCTACAAATCCCCGGGGCTTTGTTTGTTTGGCGTGAAAGTACACAAAAATGCATGAAAATGAAAAAAATACAACTTTCCATGCATTTGATTAGCAGAAAATTACGATACCTTCCATTTTGGTTTCCCAGGAAAATTTCTTTTCCCGTGAAAGCTTTTTTCTTTACCATCTTGCCCCTTGCAATTTTACCCATTTGAGTTCCAAAAGAGAGATGAAAGATAATTGTCTTATCTTATCTGGAATAGCAAGCTCGTCAATGGTGACGGTGTGAAATCAGACAGATAAAGTGAGATGGAGATGGAGATATAGATATAGATGAAGGTGTAGAGGTGGAGGGTTACCGGAGTTGAAGGCGGCATCGACGTCGATGATGGTGGTGGTGGAGCTAGTGGAGCAAAACAATGTCGCTTGAGAGGTGGAGAGAGAGAGAGGGGAGGGAGAAAAATGTGGACCGGGTGATAGAAGGTGAAGGTTATGAGGTGGGGACATAACCGTACTAGTGGTAAAGAAGGTGATTTATGAGATGTATGAATATGGTGTTGAGGATGGATCATAGTCAAGGTGGGTGGGTCTTTTAGTCTACACTATAGGAGGAGAGATGAACATTTATCTCTTTGTTAAAAGGAATAAAAAATCTATTATTTTGTTTAAAAAGTTGTGTATGCTTTTGTAACATGCTCATAAGCATAGATATATGTTGTTTTTTTAACAACTTGATGTAAATCATAATAGCTCTGATATCAAATTGATGTAGATCGGGAAGAAGAAAAGGATGAAAAAAGAAGAAGGGGATGAAAATAGAGAGAGAATTTTAGNTTTGATACCAAATTGATGTAGATCGGGAAGAAGAAAAGGATGAGAAAAGAAGAAGGAGATGAAAATAGAGAGAGAATTTTAGGAAGAAGATTCAATATCAATAATCAATAATCAATGTCTAGTCCCTCAACAAATATGTATCCCCTATATATATAAGGAATTCACAAATCCTATATATATAAGGAGATCACAAACCCTAAAATAAATAAATAATCAAAATGACAACTAAACCATTAAAAGTTAAAAGAAATTACTTAAAAGTTAAATATTAAAAGTATCTAAATAACTATCATAATTAATCTATAATATCTATCCAATTNTTCTTGTGACAGAATTAGTTGTAGAGATAATTTGATCAACTTAAGTAATTTTTGAAAAATTTCTTCCCGCGGAAACATCTCTTATGACTATTATAAAAAATAGTTCCAAACCACACTACTGCCCAAGAAGATTCATACCCACCCCATGCTTATTTCCCACATCTCCAAAGAGTTCCATGAATCCCAATTGAATGTTGAGTACCAAACCTACAAATCCCCGGGGCTTTGTTTGTTTGGCGTGAAAGTACACAAAAATGCATGAAAATGAAAAAAATACAACTTTCCATGCATTTGATTAGCAGAAAATTACGATACCTTCCATTTTGGTTTCCCAGGAAAATTTCTTTTCCCGTGAAAGCTTTTTTCTTTACCATCTTGCCCCTTGCAATTTTACCCATTTGAGTTCCAAAAGAGAGATGAAAGATAATTGTCTTATCTTATCTGGAATAGCAAGCTCGTCAATGGTGACGGTGTGNAATGGCTGGAACACTCTGATCTAAATTATATCAACACACAAACTTATAAAGCATAAGTTAGGTTGTGGTTTTGCACTTTCGTTGGTCCTCCAATCGTCTAATGGTCATCTAGACGTGGATAACCATTTAAAGCAAACAAAGAAAAACATATGATCGCGCTTCNTAAAGTGAGATGGAGATGGAGATATAGATATAGATGAAGGTGTAGAGGTGGAGGGTTACCGGAGTTGAAGGCAGCGTCGACGTCGACGATGGTGGTGGTGGAGCTAGTGGAGCAAAACAATGTCGCTTGAGAGGTGGAGAGAGAGAGAGGGGAGGGAGAAAAATGTGAACCGGGTGATAGAAGGTGAAGGTTATGAGGTGGGGACATAACCGTACTAGTGGTAAAGAAGGTGATTTATGAGATGTATGAATATGGTGTTGAGGATGGATCATAGTCAAGGTGGGTGGGTCTTTTAGTCTACACTATAGGAGGAGAGATGAACATTTATCTCTTTGTTAAAAGGAATAAAAAATCTATTATTTTGTTTAAAAAGTTGTGTATGCTTTTGTAACATGCTCATAAGCATAGATATATGTTGTTTTTTTAACAACTTGATGTAAATCATAATAGCTCTGATATCAAATTGATGTAGATCGGGAAGAAGAAAAGGATGAAAAAAGAAGAAGGGGATGAAAATAGAGAGAGAATTTTAGGAAGAAGATTCAATATCAATAATCAATGTCTAGTCCCTCAACAAATATGTATCCCCTATATATATAAGGAATTCACAAATCCTATATATATAAGGAGATCACAAACCCTAAAATAAATAAATAATCAAAATGACAACTAAACCATTAAAAGTTAAAAGAAATTACTTAAAAGTTAAATATTAAAAGTATCTAAATAACTATCATAATTAATCTATAATATCTATCCAATTTCTACACGATCCCCATCACAACGTCATAGATATATGTTAAAAATGACAGCCAGGTAAGGATAATTTAGGCAAATAAAAAAAAATCAAAAAATTTCTTTCAATTTTTTTGAAAAAATTTCATCCTAACCAAACTCATACAATAAAAATTATTTTTCTTTTACTTTCTTTTCTTTCCCTTTAGTTTCTTTCACTTTCACATTCTATCATTATTTCTTCTTAACCAAACACAGCCTAGAAAACTTACTCCTCTATCCAAAACCCCCACACACACTCACACCTCCAACTTTCTCCACAAGCTTACATCTCTCCACTACATACATTTACAGTCAACTTTCCCATAGATAAAGCTTAAACACTGATATCTGCTTATGTCAAACTATACCTCCCCTCCTCTTCTCCCCGCTAGAGCACTTACCACGACCCAATCAATTAAAGTGCCATTTAGAATCTTTCACAATCCCATGAAGAGTGTCTCTATGATTTTCTAGCCTCCTCGACCCTAAAATAGAAATAATAAACATGGACAAGAAATATTTAAAAGCAAGGGAATTGTTATAGAGGAGACTAAGGATAGCCACTTTCGACAAAAAAACAACTTTTGAAGCTAAATATCAAGATAGAAACCCCTAACTCGATCTATGCCAAGTTTCTCACCTCCATAAATGATACCTTATGATTTATTGTAGGGACGCAATGTGAACATGCCTGACCTGGGCCCAAACTGAAGTTTGGCAAGCTCTAGTAGAAAACTGACTTAGGCTTGGTTGAAACACGATAATCTCAATTAACTTCATAAAATCTGAGTATCAAGCAACCCAAGCTAGGGAAACTTCTGTAGATGAGACTTAGGCTCTCAACTTTCAACAAAGAATGACATCTTCAACATACATTTTACTTGAAGCTAAATCTAGAAATCAGATCCCTTAACTTGATCTATGCCAAGTATCTCACTTCCATAAAGGATGCGTTAAAGGAATATTGTAGGAATGCAAAGTTGACATGCTCAACCTGAATCTAACCCAAAGTTTGGCAAGCTTTCACAGAAGCCTGAGTTAGGATTGGCTGGAACACTCTGATCTAAATTATATCAACACACAAACTTATAAAGCATAAGTTAGGTTGTGGTTTTTCACTTTCATTGGTCCTCCAATCGTCTAATGGTTATCTAGACGTGGATAACCATTTAAAGCAAACAAAGAAAAACATATGATCGCGCTTCAAAATCAATGTAAACTTAATTTTAGCCAGTACCTAAATCTTTGAGGTCTAATCCGCTTCCTCACAAGAAACTGTATAAGGTTGCAACTTGGGCAAGATAACCCAAATTTAACCCAAAATATCGAATACTTGGGCCTCGATTTTCAAAATTCAGGTTGGACTTTGGTAAAAAAATTCTATTCCGATTTGAATTCGTTCAATATTCAGGTTGACAGTGGTCCACTCAGACTAAATGCATAAAATCAGATTCAATCCAATTTATCTATTATTTTTCTTGACTCACATCAGTCTATTTTGACCTAATCCTTCTCATTTTTGAAGAGCCGCTCCCTTTCTTTTCCCCCTCTCTTGCGACACTGTTTCACCCTCCTAATTGACGAGAGCCGATTGTTCCCCCTCCTCCCCCCCCCCCAACTCGGTCGGAATGTTGTTCTTCTCCGGTTGAAGTCCTACCTCCTATTAGGTCTCACTCACCATCGCTACATTCCTACAATTTTGTAAAAGTTTGGGCAAGCTATTATCCTCCACTGATCAAAATGGATGAAAGAATGTTAACTTAGGATGGTTGGTTACCTTCTTTAGTCCCTTACTCCCTTTACATATACAAGTTAGTAATGAGCCTCCCGATCCTATCTTGTTTTGTTTAAATGTTTTTGAAAGAGCAAATAAAATTGTGTGGGATTTAAAATCTTTCTTGTTTTGTTTAAATATTTTTAAAAGAGCAAATAAAATTGTGTGGGATTTAAAATCTTTGAATGTTCATCTTTTTTGTACAATTGGGTTAGCCTGCATGATTTCTTGTTTTTTTGATAAGAAAAATGAAGGAAAATAGAGTAGTGGTGGAGTAGTGAAATTCAACCCGAGCAAGAAAATATGAACACAGGCATTACTCAAGTTGATGAGTTCGGGTTGAAGCTCGAATTTGGACAATACTTTGGTTGATGCTTTCTTATCTATAACTAAGGTTGGTTGAACCCCCCCCCCCCAAAAAAAAACAAAAAAAACCTACCCGAGTTGCACCCTTATCTCAAGGTCCATCACTAGGCAATAACTCAACATCTCCAATTTTCTTTTCTATGTTTCACCATGCTCACGGGAAAATCAATCCTAAATATTTTTCTCACTAATCATAGTGTGTCCTTTTTCTAAAAAATGCTCTATTTTCTTCACTCTATTTGACGGCATGCCTTCTTATTCTTTCCCTTTTTATGTGATTCATAATAGGGATATGGTGATGTTGTTTGAATAACAAGCTTAAAAGCTAGGTTGCTTCAACATTCAATTTTATTATGAAACAAGCAAACTTAAAAACCTTGAACAGTCGAATGTAATACCAGGTTTAGTGCATATAATTGAATGGGAAGTCTTGGGTTGCCTTGGCAAAGTGTATTAGAACTTAGATTGAGCATGAGGTCACCTCAAACGTTGCCCAACATGCCTAACTTGCGAGTTCAACCATGTAATATCCTCTTGGTCCTTTAAGAGAGTCAGGGGTAATTAAACAACATTTCGTTGAACAACAGTAGGCAATGGTCCCTTATATAAGATACATATAGATACTATAGCACTTAAGTTAAATCATGACACTCCTTCTGACTGATGAAATGCCTGAAAATTTTATCCATCATAGCCAAAACATTCATGCCTATTTCCTCTCATCTTACTTCCAAGTATTCAAACGTCGACGCCTACTCCATTTTGGCTTTCTATACCTACATGTTTGGTTCACACGTATGCCAACATGTTCTAGTCAGCACCTCTACCCAACCCTTGTCAGTCTTTTCTCCGTCTTCCCTGCAATTTACATACAAAAAGGGGGCACTTTATTTAAGCTCAATTCGCATACAAATGGAAAGTGAACCATTGTCCCCATCAATCATCACTAAGAACAGAAATATTCCTAAAACAATATTGACCTAGTATCCACTACTAACTACTGTTGTTAACCAATAATGACAATACTCATAATTATATCAAATCCTAGCCCAATTAACACTACAAGAAAATAATACCACTAAATAAGAGAAGACCCAGTACATTTTAGCCAAAGCCCAGCAAACCTAAAGCATACCCAGATGACAAAAGTCAACGAATATAAGTATAACATAAACATGAGATTCAAAATTTGAGACAGATCTTACATTGCTCCCTTTCCAGACTTCGTACACGCGCTTTGCCATGTGAAACCCACCTCCTCGCGCGCTATATACTACGCCGGAGCAGCGCCGAAGATTTGGAACTTGTGGATGTTCATCTCCTCCCCTCAGACCCTCACACCAAAATCTCACGAGTACAGTAACAATCAATTGTTTAATTGATGGTACAAAGTGTTAATACTTCAATATTCAGTAGGATTTTTGGGGATTTTGAGAACCCAATTCCTGAACAGGGAGAGAAAATGGATTTTGTTTTAGGTCGTTGGTTTCGTGATTTGAGGAGAGAGAGAGGGTGGTGGTGGTGGCGGTTTGAAGTTTTTGTAGAATGTTTTGGGAAAGGTTTCCACACGAATGCGCAGGCTACTTAAATATTAAAAATCCTCTTCGTTCTCTCGTCATCAT